CTTGCAGTGCCCAGATCTCTGCAGCTCAGGTCTTGCTCTTTAGCTCAAAATTCTTTGATGGGTACTTTTCTTTTGATTAGATTGGTTGTGGATATCCCTAAAAATGTTTCCTTTCTCTCTCTATCTCTCTCTCTCTCCCCCCTTGTATTGACTTTCATGATGGGATGATCCAATGGCTGTAAATTCTCTGTACTTTGTTGCATATAACTGTTTATCTTGGTGTTCCATTAGCTGATTGGTTCTTATTTTGTGACTTTGTTCATTGTTCAAAATGTTCCCGTTACTCTTCATTCGTCAACTCCCTCCGTTATTGATAGTTAGGGCTCTTTGTTTCAGTGTTTTAGTAGATGCTGGTGCGGGTTTAAAGTCATTGTACTGTAGAGCGAGAATGTGGATGTTTGATGCGGTTATTGCTTTATTTGGTTGCATTGTTCATTGCAACAGCCTGCTGGATTTGCTTAAAGACGCCCTCTTTCTTGTTGGCAATTGACCGCAATCCTTTGTTATAGACACCAGCAGGATAATTAAAAATGATTGTAGGAAAAGAATGGGTTTGTTTTTTTTTTTTTGAAAATTTATCTTCCTCCATATCGTGCGCCTTTCCCTAATTTCTTCAATATTACGGTGAATAATTATTCCCCTTCACTCTCGATCGTCAGAATTCAACTGATCCTTCTTCATAAGCCTCACAATATTGAGGTGAGAAAAAAGCCTTCATCTCTTCTAGACGAACCGACTTTCCTTGGGGGGTTTTCTAACTCATGGAGACCAGTGCCCCCACTTTCTTCTTCAACATAACACCTTCAAGAATCATGAAAGAAGCTTTATATTGGCGCCATGAGAGGGGCCCTCAAGGCTGCTGTAGGTACTAGATTTATGTCCCATAATCATTTGCATCGACAGATTCATACTTGATAAATGATAAACATCGGGAAAACCTCTATATATCCAATCTGTTTATATCTCTAACGTTTCTGTTTACTTCTTATGCATTCTGTACATGAATTCTCATGTTGAGACTATTCTTACTTTCCGATAGTCATTGAGGCTTGATGGGCTATTATCTTGCAGATTACTCAGTCATGGAGTACTATGCTTTCTTCCTCGACAAATCGACACACGCTCTTGGCTTTCAGAAGTCTAAACGCTGAACTTCATGGCCAACGAGTTTTACACACGGGAAACAGACTCAGAGTTCGGTGGAGTTTTGTAGGCGGATCAAAAATTATTTTTCAGCCAGATGTTGCAAGAATCAACTGTCACAGGAAAGGCTCCAGTTTATCTGCTTGCTGTAATTTTCTAACTACAACATTTTGTGATTCTATTCATATTGTCATCCATAAGTGCATAGTTCGCACCGGTCTTCTTATTGAGGGAAATTTTCTATAACGTAAAAGTATGTCTTACAATCTGATAGCCTCATAGGGCAGAGTAAAAGCGAGGGTAGAAGTTTTAGGATTTTCTGGTGGGAATCATAACTCATGTATGAGGAACATTGAAAGCTAAATAGCTAAAGTGGAAGAGTTTTCCACTACATTTTCTAAAGTTTTAGTATGTTATAACTAGGGTCATTGTTGGTTGAATACACTGGTGAAAATTAATGAAGTATATCTTTTCTTTTAGAAGATCAAAAACAGGAGAATCCGATGAGTAAATCAGTGTTATAACTACAATTGCAAACAGCGAAATGAGAGATGGAGACTGCTAGAGAGAGGACACGATAATAATAAGTACTTAAAATTCTAATTATAGAAACAGATATAGTGTGCCCGGGAAAGACCGGGAAAGAAATCGTCCAGACATGGAGACATGATTATATATGTATCTATATATATGTATATTTAACGTATAAGACCAATATAAATAATATCTTGTGTTTTGTTATAGAGACTAAATTTAGCAAAATGAACTATCAAAAAATTTCAATGGGGGTGTATAATTGATCCTAATAAATATCTTTAAAGTGGATGATAGTTTACACATTTGCGTCTGACACTGATGGATAGTAAAGGAAAACTCAATCGAACTACTTGATATAGCCTAAAAATACGAATCAAAATACTGAGATATCGCACACACAAACAGACACAGATATGGATGCAACACACATGAGCATGACTTTATTTCTTATCTATAGGCTCAATAGGAAAGCGAAACTCAATATGAATATTTGACACAGCAAAAAAAAATGGGAATCAAAAGGTGGAAATATCTCACAAAGATGCAAATTTACAAAGCATGGCAGTAGAAGAGATTTTTTTGGAGGCATCAGTATAATCGAGAATCCAGACCTGGAAAAACCAAACCTCAGACTAATCTGAGAAGTTGTAATTTGTTAATCACACTTTTATCAAGGTCCTTAGATGCACTTGCATTCCAAGGGCAAAAAACCAACTGGAATATGTATTATTGAGTTTTGATGGGCCGCTTTGAAACCCGGTGGTCTTCAAATTACAATGAACATCTTATAGGTAGGATGGAACCAAGAAAAAAATGAACAAAGTTTCTATAAGAGTTTCGCAGTTTATGGCTTAGTTTCTTTCAACTTCTTTCTTTTCTTATTTTATTCTACTAATTGCTAGACCCACTTTCTCAATTTGTTAAGAAGTTTCATGTTTCCTAAAGTACGTTATTTCGCAGATTGTTTGTAGCGCCAATAATTTTAAGTTGTTTCTTTTTTATTTTTTCCCCCTAAAAGAACTTCTCCTTCAGGGCTTACAAGTTCTCAAATTGCTACAAATGCTTTCACTTGGGGGACCATTGCTGTTCTCCCATTCTATGCTTTGATGGTTGTGGCTCCTAATGCTCAACTTGTAAGTATTTGGTATTATAGATTTGAGTTGTAATATGGAAAAAAGAGTCAAAAGTTGTGTCATATATCTTTATGCAACTGAGTAACTTATTCCTTTATCCAAAACGTAGACTAGAAGAACTATGGAGAGTAGCATACCATATGTTATTCTTGGATGTTTATATGCCTATCTTCTTTGCCTCTCATGGAGTCCTGAAACATTACGGTTGATGTTTGCAAGTAAATACTGGCTACCCGAGGTTTGTTTCTCATTTTGTACCTTAACTCTTCTTCAACTAGAATGCTAACATATGTGGAAATGGCTTACATCAATTACCTCCTGTGGATAAAAATTTTGGTCTTATATTTTCTTTAGAAGACAAACTCATTAAACATTCTGTTGATGTATACTGTTTGTTGTATTGTTCTGTCTAGATCGGATATTGCGTTGGGGATAAAAATTGGTTCCAGAGTAGATGTTTTCCTGTATATTTTATGCTAATAAAATACCTAAAACTATTTTATTAGCACCTTCACCATCTAAACTCCAAAGAAATTATGTCACCTTTACTTTTTTGCCTTTAGATTAACTGAAAGAAGCACTCATACCCTCCAAATTGAACGTAAAAAATAAAGCCGTTTGAGATTTTTTTTCTTTTCTTTCTTTTTGTGTGCGTGCTCTCTCTCTCTCTCTCTCTCTCTCTCTCTCAAGAACTAACAAAATAGCTAGGAGGTATAAGTGGCTGTAGCCTCCTTATAGTTTATCTGAAATTGACCCTATTTTCTAGTGAAACTTGACTTTTACCTTTCTTCCTTTTCCTTTGCTTGGTAATATTTCTCAGCATGTCAACAATATCCCTTTGGTTTTTTTTTCATGGTAATATTTCTCAGCGTGGCAACAATATCTTATGCAGTTACATGGCATAGTTAGAATGTTCTCGAATGAGATGACTGTTGCATCCGCGTGGATTCACTTACTGGCTGTTGACCTTTTTGCTGCGAGGTTCTTTTTTCACTCACGACCATTCTCTTGTTAATATCATCACAGTACTATATGTTTGAAGTACTACGAAAATTTCTTTTTTTTATTCAGGCAAGTATTTCATGACGGCATAAAGAACAAGATAGAGACACGTCACTCTGTTTCATTGTGTCTCCTCTTTTGCCCGATTGGTATTGTGACTCATGCCATCACGAAGTTATTGATGAAGGTTAATGGTAGATCACATTGATGAGATTGGTTCTTTTCATTGTACATGTTCAGTTTGTAGGTTTAGGTTCAAAATTGATGAGATTTAGTTCATTATTGTTGGTAATTTCTCTGAGAAATTACAGGGATCAAAACTGTTTGCAATTTGAGACTGCTTTGTTTGAGATGCTACTGAGAAACGAGTTTGTTTGGGTGTTTGATGCTTTTGAAAGTTTGATGTTATAGAATGTGGGATGCTTGAAGCACTGGATTTAGCAAAAATTTTGAGTTACTGTTAAGTTTTTTGCTCTTACCTATTTATCGGATATGAAGAAGTTGTTACGGGTTGGTAGTTGGAAATGACGAGAACAGA